CCTTTGGGATCTGTGGGGCTCCGTGGGTCCCTATGGGTCACAGTGGGGTTTTGATGGGGTTTCTGTGGGTCCCTGTGTGTCCCTATGGGTCCCTATTTGTCCCTATATGTCCCTGTGTGTCCCTATGGGTCCCTATTTGTCCCTATATGTCCCTGTGGGTCCCTATGGGTCCCTGTGTGTTCCTATGGGGTTTGTATGGGGTCCCTGTGTGTCTCTATGGGTCTCTGTGGCCCCCCACGCTGAGGCGCCATGTCCCCGCAGGGCGGCTGATCTTTGACAACCTATGGGTCTCTGTGGGTCCCTATGGCTCCCTATGTGTCTCTATGTGTCCCTATGGGTCCCCATGTGTCCCTATGGGTCCCTGTGGCTCCCTATGGGTCTCTATGGGTCCCTATGGGTCCCTATGGCTCCCTATGGGTCCCCATGTGTCCCTATGGGTCCCTGTGTGTCCCTATGGGTCCCTATGGGTCCCTGTGTGTCCCTATGGGTCTCTGGCCCCCCACGCTGAGGCTCTGTGTCCCCGCAGGGCGGCTGATCTTCGACAACCTCAAGAAGTCGATCGCCTACACGCTGACCAAGAACATTCCGGAGCTGACGCCGTACCTCATCTACATCACGGCCAGCGTCCCGCTGCCGCTCGGCTGCATCACCATCCTTTTCATCGAGCTCTGCACCGACATCGTGAGGCCCCGACCCACGCATCCCCGACCCACGGATCCCCTGCCTGCCCCCACAGATCCCCTGCCCCACGGATCCCTTCCCCATGGATCCCCTGCCTGCCCCACGGATCCCTGCCCCATAGATACCCTGCCCCACAGATCCCCTGCCCCATAGATCCCCTGCCCCATAGATCCCCTGCTCCCACAAATCCCCTGCCCCACAGATCCCCTGCCCCATAGATCCCCTGCCTGCCCCAAAGATCCTCTGCCCCACGGATCCCCTACCCCACACATCCCTGCCCCACAGATCCCCTGCCCCACGGATCCCCTGCCCCACAGACCCCTGCCCCACAGCCCCATTCACCCCGTTGTCCCCACTGTCCCCATGTCCCCATTCATCCCCCTTGTTCCCATTCATCCCATTGACTCCATTCACCCCAACTGTCCCCATTCATGCCAATGTCCCCATTCATCCCATTCACCCCAAAGTTCCCACTGTCCCCATTCACC